AAAATTCGATAAAGATCTATATCTCTTTAAAATTAATAGATATAATTTATTTAATAATAATTTAAATTTTAATAAAATCTATTTATAATCTATTTATAGATATTAGTAAATTTAGAAATTTAATTTTCTAAATATAAAATTCGCATTTAAGAATATTTATTTAAAGATTAATATTTTTTAATTTCTAAAAAATTTATCTAACGTATTAAATATATTTCTTTTTTATCTTATTATAAATAAGTATATTATCGAGATAAATCTAATAGAAGTTATTTAGATATTTAAATAGAATATTATTTATATATTATTAATATATAACTAAATCGTTAATTAATTCGAAAAGAAAAACTCGATACTTATATATTTTAAGAAAGATAATAAAAGTAGTAAAATTCTTATTATTCGAATATATATATAATTTATTAAATATAGCTATAATATCTAATCGAGTAAGATATTTATATCTTTAAATTCTTATTAAAATCTTATCTATTAATAAAATTAAATATTAATTTCTTTTAATAATAGTATTTAGCTTTTAATAGTTTATATAAAAATATAATTCTTTATTCGACTTTTTTATAAATAAAATAAGTAAGATAAATAGTATATAGTTTAATATTATAAATTTCTTCTTTATCTATTTTAATTTATATTCTAATATTAAATAAATCTTACTTTTTAAAAATTTCATTTTATTAAAATTATTATTAAATTTTAATTTATAATTATAAAAATAATATAGAAGAAATATATTTATTTTAATTCTATTAAAAATATCTAAATAATTATAATACTTTAAAAATAACTTATATTTTATCTTTTTAGAATTAATTATATTAGCGTTATTAATCTAAATAAAATAATTAAAATTATAATATCTCTTATATTTCTTTTCTAAATTATAGAAATATAGTTTATTAATTAATATATAAGTTTCGCGAGATATTTAAATAGAGAGAGATATATATAGTATAAATAACGTATTATAAATCTTATTTATTATTAATATAAATAATTTATTATCTTTTTTATAAGCTAGTTAATAATAAATCGCTATATTAATCTTAGCGATATCGATAAACTTAATCTTATTTAATAATAAGATATTTAAATTACTTTTATTATCGTAAGTAAATAGAGAAAAATCTTATTATTTTAATATAATAGATAAAAAAATAAGTAATATAGATAATTAAAGTTTTAAAGTAAATAAAAAAGAAAGTTTATTTATTATTAATATTTTATTATTATTATAATTATATTAATTAAATAAAAAGAGTATCTTATTTTATAATATATTAAAAATTATTTTATATTTATTTATTTAAGATTTTTTAATTATTATATCGTATTTTAATAATATAATTAATATTAAATATATTTCTTTTTAATAATTTTCTACTATTATAATAGAAAGTAAATAATATATAATTAATTATTTTATAATTTAATTATTATAACTTCTAAATAATTTAAATCTTAATAATAAAAATAACTTTAAATATAAGACTTTATATATTATTATAATTAAAAACTTATTTATAATTATATAAATATTAATATATTTATTATCTATTAAAGAGTTTTTAAATAAATAATCTTTCTCTTATAAAGATAATATAATTTATATATAAAAAGAATAATATATTAAAGCGTTATTAAGAATATCTATTAAATATACTTTATAAATATCTCTTATTATAATTTTAAAAGAGATTATTTATTTTTTAAATTTAAAGAAAAATCGTCGTTATCTATAATATTAATATTATTAATTTTAAATTTTTTATCTATTTTTATCGCGTAAAATTATATTTTTTTAAAGATTTTTTTATTAATCTTAATTTAAATAATTATTATATAATTTTTTTAATAATAATCTTTTTTATTATAATTATAATATATTAATTTTTTTAATTTTAAATTAATTATAATATTTAGAGATATAATAATTATATTTAAATTAGATTAAATAAAAATATAAGATATATATTAATTATAAATATTATTATTAATATTTATATTATAATTAATTTAATAATAATCTTTATAAATTTAAAATTTTTATATTTAATATATTATAAATTATTTAATTTTCGAAAATATTCTTTTATAATTTTTAAAATAATAAAATCTTTTATAATCTATTATAACTCTCTTAATTTTTTTTTTAATTTCTTAAAAAGATAATTCTCTAGTATTTAAGTTTTCTTAATATTAAAAATAATATTTAATTAAATAAAATCTAAATAAAAGTTAATAAAGAATTAAGTTTTTTATTATAGAGTATATATATTATATAATATATTATTATATTAATCTAAATTCTTATAAATATTAATTAATTTATTTATAATTTTAATAAAAGATTAATATAAATTAATAAAGTTTCGAAGTTTTTTATATATTATATATTATATAATCTTATTATTAAATTATAAAATTATATAAATTATTTTAAAGTTTTTAATAAAATAATAATTATTATTAATTTTAAATTTCTATTTTATTTTAAAGAATTAATTATTTTAAATAAAATTAATATTATTAATAAATAAAGATAGATCTAGAATCTTAATTAATTTTTCTTTTAATTATCTAAATATATATTCTTTCTTAATTAAAAATAGTTATAAATCTTTTATAAATTATAAATTAAGATTATTAACTTTTCGCTATAGAGAAATTATATTTTTCTAAAAATCTTAAATTAATTAATTTATTTTTTTAATTATTTTATAAATTTAAAATAAATTATTTATAATTAAATTCTTTTTTATTATAACGATATAATATTAAATAATAATTTTTTAAAAATTATTTTATTTTTAATAAATCTTATTTAATATAATTATAAATTTATTAAATTAATATTTAATTTAATATTATAATTATAGAGTATTAATAATATTTTAAAATATTTCTATCGAATTAAACTCATTAATTATATTATCTAATAAAATTAATACTTATTAAAATTTAATTTATTTAAATAAAATCTTAATTTAATCTATTCTTTTAATATTAAACTTTATTATAGAAAAAAAAAAAAGAAGATTTAAAATAAAATAAAGAGAAATTTAAATACTTTAAAAGAATAAGTATTAGAGATATTAGATATATTAGAGAATAATAAAATTTCTTAAAAATATATTAAAATTATTTAATATTAAGAATAAATTTTTTTACTATAAAGCTTAAAATAAGATTATTTCTTTATAAGAGTTTAATATATTTATCTCTTAATTATTTAAGACGTTAAAAAGACTATAAATACTTTAAATAATAATTTTTTAAATATACTTACTCCGCTTAAAGAGTTTCTTATCTTATAAAAAAATTATATATAAAAAAGTTTAAAAAAATAATATATTAAATTAATTATAACTTAATTATTTTTTATTTAATTAAGATTTTATTAAAACTCTAAATATTATAATATATAAAGTTATAAATAATATTATTAATATATATTTTAAATATAAAAATATAGAATAATATTAACTATTTCTTTTAATTTACTAATCGTATAAATAATTTAATATCTTCTTTATCTCTCGATTATTATTTATTAAGATTATTTCGCTATTCTATTTAAACTCTTTAAAATTAATTTATTTATTTAATAAATTTATTTAGAGATATAATAGCTTAACTTAATTTCTTATTAAAGCTTCTATTAATATATTTCTTTAAATTTATTTATTAATATAAATAAAATAAGTAAGTTAATCTTAGTTATAGTATTAGAATTAATATAGATATAATATTAATATAGATATATTAAATAAAATAACTAAGATATCGAATTATATAGGTGGGAAGGAGGTATAATATAGTAGAGGATGCCTCCGCCAAGGCCCGCTAGCCATAGGGCTGAGGGGTGTGTCAAGGGTACGCTCGTAACAGACACGGCGCTGTTTCCTTCTCATCATTATATGCATAGTTGAACTGGATAGGGTGGGCAAGTTCTGTAATGATAGTTTGGTATCGATCCGACCTCGTTGGCTCGCTTCGCTTGTCGCTACAGATCCTATGCTCTGTTTCCAAAGAAGCAGAGTCAAAGGTCTGAAGAATTGATTACCTCCCAAACGTACACTCGAAAGGTATATATGTCGACAGATACACAAATGAAAACAAAGTTGAACCAAACCTGCAAACCCTTGACAAGTGAGAATGTTAAGACCCACAGCAGCGTTAATTCGCCAGGTCCATGGTATCTAGACTGTCAGTATCGAAGTCAGCGAAGATGACCCGAGAGTTCTGGACTTCAGCAAAGTCGAGCTTCATGAGATGGAAAGCAGGTGATTGGCCTCGATCTCAAAGCTCGGGAACATGCTCGGCTTCAGGAGTAGCAAGGAGGGTCTTTGGGTTTCAAAACCACATTCTAATTGGAAAAGGCCAATCGCGACCGTTGGGGTGCTTGAATCCAGTGTCAGCGAAAATCATAATTCAATAGAGTGAGGAGACTTTGATGTTAACACTTACTCTGTTATTTATCAGAGCCCCTTGGGATGATGAAGCTTCCACTTTTCTCAGACTTCGCAACAACCAAGAAGCCAGTGGTGGTCTGCGACATGCTGCATCGGAAAATGACGAATTTTCGGACTGCCATCCTCGAAATGCAACTCGATCACCAAGAGCTCTAGAGCCTCGTGTTGAGGCGCCAGGGCCTTGAGTTGGCGGAAGGCGGATCTTGAACGCCCGGTATCTGTGGATGGAGATTGTAAGCCAATGGAAGTGAAGCGCAAATGCAGATTAGGGTGATGTGTTCCGTACCTCACAGCACGTTAGAAACGCTCGTCTACGCTCTGACTGTTCTGTTAACAGTGGGTGACAAGACACCTGCCTGTGCGTTCACAGCCGTCTCTGGTGGTGGTCGAAGATTCCTTCTGCCATAGGGCACTCTGCCCGCGTACCTCAATTTCTTGAGCATTGCTTGTAATTAAAGGTATCATCTGATTACGAAACTACATCTGCACTTTGTGCAACGCAGCTCAAAGCTCGGCAGCCATTGACATCAGGTCGCTGTGCTTCTCTTGGTCCGGGGAATCCATGGGTGTGAGCGTTTGCCTATCACTTTCCGTGAGCTTTGGCTGTCTGTCACTTCTGGTGGAGCCTTACGACGTATTCATGGCGAGCAGGAGATTGAGGCTGATGGGTTTTGCTGCAACCACGGCCCGTAAACGCTCGACTTCCTCACCATCGCTCGAAGCGATCTTTTGTCCGCATATGGCTTCAGTGTAGACTCGTATTTTTCAAGCTTGACCATGAAGTCTCGCAGAGGCAGCTGACACGCAAGAGCCATGCCGCCAATGGCGTTGATGTGGGTGACATTATCTTTGGTGGGCTTCAACGTCTCGAGGTGTCGCAGTATGCTCTTCAGACCCTTGAGCTCGATGACCACTAATTGATAATCCGTGGGAGCTCCTCCTGTCTCCTTCAACGCCTTGGTGACTCTTTTCACGAGACCTTCGAGCACACATAGATCAGCGTTCCTCCATTGACAGGACAGCGGTGGCAGGGGATCGTACCTATGGCGCTGATGAGATCCCCCACTGAGAAGCCGAACGCGGGTGTCATTGTTGCGGAGGAAGGACTGAGAGCACGTAAGAGAACAGCCGCATAATGCCTCTGTCTGTACTGTTTTCCACATTGATTGAGGAGTTGAAGCCCTGAGGCATTGTGGCGCTCAGCCTCATCAATAGGCACAGCCACGTGGCTCAGCCATCTCTAGTGTACGGCGTACACTTCGACATGATTGGCCCCGCGAACGTGGGCTTCTCTTCTCTCTAATCTGAGACCGCAGCTCTTTCAGGTGCATCCTTAACGTGCTCAATTCCCTATGCTAAAAGCTATGCATAGTAGACTTGCCCAGGGCGCGAATCTATTATCCTATGGCGAGGTTAGATTTGACCGCGGATTTTGCGGTCTCATTGATCCGGGCACTCGAGAGAGAGATGTTCTATCGGTCATCATGAGATCTGATGGGATGACTACAGAGGTCTGCACCGAAAGTCCTGCACCCGCACTAGTGCAGCCCTAACCCTACTTTCGGAAAGCGGCCCTATAGAGGGGAAGTTTAGAAATATCTTCTCACAATGCATGGATAAAACTTTAGGTACTTCTTTTGACTTAATAGGGGTATTAAATCCCGAAACCTAACTAGAGCTAGATGCGATTCCGAAGAACTCCAAACGCATTATCCAGGTAGCCCTTTAGGTGGGGCGTTATCCGAAGTCTGAGCGCAAGAGTCTTGGCGGCACCAGCGGGTGCAGGACTTTCGGTGCAGACCTCTGTAGTGAAATATATGTTGCCTCAATCACGGAATGCAAAAAAGAAGAAGACTGTAGAGGACTCTGTGGAAGAGGCAAGCCTCCTGCAGGTATAGCCCCATCGCCAAGCACCTATACCATATATAGCTAGCCTGCAACCGGCTGCACCTTCCAACTCATCCGGTGGGCGGCCCCCCCCCAACTAGGTAAAACTTGGGTGTTTGCTCCCTGAGGAACATAGGCGGTGCCGATTATCATGCTAGTACATCTGCAGCTAGCGTCGTGACAGGAAATAATTCCATAGCCAAATAACACTTAGACACCTACTCGTGGATTCCAGAAATGAGTCCTTTGATAGAGCGAGGACACCAATAGATCAAGCGACATGCCGCTAAGTGGAAATATCTATTGGTGTCCTCGCTTTATCAAAGGACTCACTTCTGGAATCCACGACTACACAATACAACAGACCCTCTTCTACCCATATTGCCCCTTACTCGTGCCACCCTACTGACGGTGTGATGTGATAGCGGGATAGAGTAGATGCACCCTGCCAAGTAACCGCGGAGCCTCATCCCCAAACCTCAAACCTTCCGCTTCAATCCTTCTTTCTTCACTGTCATCGCCTCTTGTCATCCTAAGAAACAGGGAAAAAACCAGAGCTTTCTTAGTCACGCAGGTGTACGCACTATTGTGTAAGTGTACCGTGCTAACAATGTCATGTTCTGACGTGTCGAAACGTTAATGCCAACATGTTTGTGGTGGCTGAAGCCCATCTGCCGCAATCTTCCCTGTTCCAGCGATGGCATGCTTGCTTCGAGCTTTCAGCTTTCAATGGTTTCCTGTTTCATAGCCGCATGCGAGCCAGTAGCCTAACATGGAAACTGCTCCAAGTAGGGCTCGGATTAGCAACATGACCCCCAGGATACGCTAATCTATTGTAGGGCCCGATTCATCCCCAATGATCAAAGACTTCGGTTGTATAACGTAGCTAGATACTGTTTTTTTTTACTGTCATCATTGTTCTATGAGTCTGAATGATAGGGATCAGGGCCAACTTGATCATCTGAAAGCTTATTGACAAGGGAGAATCTTTCAATCATCCATAGCCTCATCTTCCTGTTCCCCAGTCTCATCTTCCAACTTTTTCGACTATCAAATCTGACTGAAACTAACCCCACGGGGCAAAATGTAACATTAGGCGGATTGATCGACTCGCATGATGGCGAGGTGCATGCAGCATGCATGGCTTGCGCATCAGTCGATATCAGTCAGATGGATCGACAATCGCAAGCCTATCAACTCGCATATCGGGAGGCCTATATGAATGGATCACGGAAACCAGTGGACGGCGCCTGGCGGTACGTCGTAAGCCTCTGTGTGCCCAGTTTCTAGGCCGCCTTACTTGATTGGCTTTATTGTGAATAAAATGTCCCCGCCTGCAACGAAACCTGCAGTGCAAAATAACCTTAAGACATTGTGATGGCTAGAGCTTAGCCCCGTCTCTGAATAGGCCTATTGAGGAACAATGATACCATACAGATGATAAGCGGGGTGGGCCTGGGCCCTGACAGTGGTTGTTGACCATGTCCATTGGTCCCAACCCCCCCCATCACTGTACTGTGACGGCGAGTTTCAGCTTTCAATGAACTTTTATCCCATGGCAGCGGTGCGAGCCAAAAACCTTAATCGTGCCTCGCATTTTTCTCGCTACTCGGCCATCGCGAAGCCGAGTGTATGACTTGATTATGGACCGTAGCACGGTACTTAAATATTCGTTCGTCACTTTATGCAACAATGCCTACTTCTGCTGCGTTCGAGCTCTTCTCCAACCTTGGCCGTTTTCTCTTTGACTCATCTTTGCGGATACAATAGCTGTTTCCAATCTATTGCAAAGACATACGGTTGAAACGCAAGGAAGAATGGCTGGCTGGATACACCCTCGAGATGATTGCTGCAGTCCATGCGGAACATGTCAGTATCAATGAAATAAAGTAAACCGTCAGACGTACAGTACTGATGGGACCCGCACTTTAGGTTGCAAAGCGTTCATGTGTCCGTGCATGACCTTTGGCAACATCAAAGCCCGTCGAGCAGGCAAAACTCCATCCAATTGCAATGGTCCCGTAGGTCACCATACCCAACGCGTGGAACCCCACAGAACCACAAGAGATACATACATCCGCTAACGTCTCGTTTTCCCAGTGCATGGGCTACGCCGTCCTATCTCTCTGCTGTCTCCAGGGAATCTACCAGTTCACCAACCGGAGCAACATGCGCGCGCAGTACCAGATCCAGGGAACGTGGAGCGACGACTGCTGCTCCTCCTCGTGCTGTTGCTGCTGCTGTGCGCTCGTGCAAGAAGACAAGGAGTCGGCCGCCCGCGCCCCGTCCACCCCCGCCGCAGCAGCCCAGCCGACACCGCAGCCCCAGATGGTATACTCGCCACCGCCGGGGCACGAGATGGAATATTTCCCTCCGCAGTCGGCGAGCCCTTTGCCTGCACCCGCGGCGGCACCGGGTATGACGGCCGCGGAGGCACGTCTGCTTACGGGGTTCGCCCAAGATGCCACCACGATTGCGACCACGGATATAAAAGCGGACGCCGGCGGATTCTGAAGCAGGACTACGGTCAAGGCGTCAGCTGCTTGATCGTCTTTATCCATCCTCAGCATCGTCCCCACTAGGCCGCCACGCCATTTGCTTGCTTATGCAACACTCCTTTCCAAGGTGCAATTGCTATATGATGGGGATTGCTCCTCGCAATCGTGTTTGGGAGCCGGTATTCCACCGCTCTGGGTCGATTTCTGTAAGTGCGAAAGGCGTTAATGATAGAACTACTCACAGGGGGGTCTTTTCCGAGTCAGTCTGCGTGGGCGGATGATGGTGGACTTATATCCTCAGAGGCTTCAGTCATGTTGCTACGCTAGCTGTTTGATCGAGCGAGAATGTGGCACGAGGAGATGGTTTCATTTCTTGATTGGCACGGTTTGGCTAGAGTCTACTTCACTCCACCATTGGTCGAGGCATAGCGTCTTTCAAAAAAGATTTCACCCAACTTTGAAGAGACTCCAGCACGCTCATCGTCTCGTACATTATTTTCGCGGGTTTCTTTTCCCTAGGGGTCCATGCCTGCATGTTGATCATTGGCTTGTCTTCCTGGGTTGATACCGTGGTACTTTGGATCGTCTCAGTCACCTTGTCCAGTGGCTGCTTATCCTGGCTCCAGTCTTCTTGAAAAAAAATCGCTTCATGCTTCGTAATTAGGTTGTTCGAGTTGGCCAGCATTGAGGGTGATCTTCTTCGTGGTTTGCAGAGCTAAATTACTAGCTGCGACGAAATCCATTCAAGCGAGTAGGCTAACCTAAACGCAAAAGAACTAGCCATAAGGCTCCACGCGCCTATCCAGCTCATCCACCTTCTGCTTCCCTTCCAAGACTTCTGCTCTCGAACAACTCCTCCTCTGTCTTAGTGGTCAGTTACCCATCGAGCTCGTCTCCTCTGTCTTAGTGGTCAGTTACCCTTCGAGCTCGTCCACGCTTCGCCTCGCTCGCATGACTTCTGCGCTCAAACTGGTGTTCTCTTGAGCAGGCTTGACCTTAAATTCGAGAGCGAGCTGAGATTGGAGACTTGAGCTGATGATGATAGAAACTTTGCGTTTAATCGCGACTCCAGCATTGGTCCTCCCGCGATGGAGATGCCTGAATAGCTGGCCCGCGTCATGGTAGCTGGGTCATGTAGAGGTTTTGGCGCGCGAGGGTCATCAACGAGATTCCGGGCATTGGTGCGCATGGCCTTCTCGTCATGACCAGTCGCGTCGAGTCTAGGCACTTTCGCCCTTTGCTCTCTTTGTTCTGTTTCCACTTGCGTTTGGCCTCACCGATCGATGCTTTACCTTATTAGCACATGGATATTGGGCTTGGTGCTCAAGAACTCACCTGAGTTCGACTGATCTGAATTCGAGGGAGGGATGAAGCTTTGGGTAGTACGGACGATTGGAGAAAGTGCTAGCGGTCGAGGCTCAGTCAATTCTCCTTCCTCAATAGACGTTTCTCATGTCAGGGTAGTGGCCGTCTTGTCGGATGCTGACGGTAGACCCGCGGCGAAACTGGCCTTGGAAAGAGCCAGAGTACCCAATAGAACTCCCTCAAATGCACATATTGCATCGCGGAGTTCATCCTTGGCAAACCTTCCACGACCAAACAAAGATTTCAGTCCTCTAGCGTTTTGCGTTGACGGTTCTTGAGGTTTGTTGGTTTCACATGGACGCCGGCCTTAGGTGACGCCCCAGCACCAGAGCGTACATCCTGAGTTGGATTCACGGTATCCCGAGATGCTGTCTGACCGGGAACCGTAGTACCAGAACGTACATGCCGAGGTGCAGTGATAGGGCCACGGGGTACCTCTCGGGTTAGATCTGTGAGACCAGGGCGTATATCCTAAGGAGTAATCGTAGCATCGTGGGATACTTTTTCGGGACTGATCAGAGGCTTGAAATTGGGGCTGTTGCCATCGGCGCGCATAGGGGACGGCGTGTCGTCAAAGCGAGCGGCAGGTTTGCTTGGTGGAGCCTTTTCAATGGGAACATTGGCAGCTGGTGGTTCATCAGATGGCTGTAGGGGGTCAATAGATTAAACTGGAATAAATAGGATATCATGTTTGGCAATACTGACAGAAGATCCATGGTGTCCATTATTTTCAGCAGAAAAGACATTGCTGGTGACGGCAACAGGCGGTACTTCAGTTAGAGCGTTCCAAACATTAGCAACGATATTATGTATGGTATGGTGGAATTGACGGTGCTCGCCTCAGTCGGCGTTACTCCGTTCGAAGCTAACGCACTTAAAAACTCGCTCTGTCTGTCGTTAGTATGACAGACAGCGTAACGAACAAAAGTGAACGCTCACGTTGTCTTTGTCCTTGTAAAACGTAGTTGTTTCCGCTATCAAGTCCTTCCATCGATGAGCTATATCACTCGTGCTACTGTGACCGGAAGGCCTTTCCGGATGGTGGAAGACAGGCCTTGTCCACCACGCAACTTCGATGAGCCAGGCTGAGATACAGAGAGATGGTGTTAGAGACAGTGGCAAACGCCGGGCAGGTGGAATGACTTGGACGTGCGAGGATGGTTAAGGAGGGTTGGGAGGAGGCAAGGTTGGAAATCGGAATCATTTGAGGCGAGCAAAGAGAGTTCAATCATAGGTAAGCGGGAATTATTCGTAACTCATCAGAAGACCCAAGGTATATATACGTATATGAAAGACATCTTTCAAGCTGGGCGACGGAGATGAATACTTGGTGCCTTGAGTTGAGAAAAGTCAGATGATCAGATGACAATCGTCGCCAATGAGCTTTGAAACGAAATGTAACGTATCCCGAAGAAGATGTAGAATAGATGACCAAAGAGCCTCTTAGAGGTTCAGTTCTTGGTAGGAACGGGGGAGAAGATAAGACCTTGGAGACGGTGGCATTGGGGAAAAGAAAAGTTGGGGGAAGATCGGGTATTTGTAGGCAACGAAGCCGAGCTAACGCCACTGTCACTAATCAGAAGCGCCATGGATACCTCTATTTCGAAATTCAATTGGTGGATTAGGAGAGATGAATTGAGCTCAAGATCTTCCTTCAAGGTTACAGAATTTCTCAATCATCGAATACTACACCCTGATCGAGCTCTTCCCCATCTTATGCACGGATAGTGCAATGCCCAGTTCCACGCCTTTTACTCAAAGCTTTCGGCTTTACGGTCTGAGGTAGAAGCATAGCGGCAAGTCCTGTTTTGTCAGACAGGTCTCAGCGAGACGAGCTCAATCATCATTTCTGAGCCCCCGTACACAAGATACTCGATAAAGTAGACAGAAGCATGCCCGGCTGGCGTCTGATAAATCCGCAATCCTGGGCAGGAGTAAGGCCAGGCGAGGCTGTGACGCCTGCGTTAGTAACATTTCCTGATGATGGCAGTGCCGGTTCCTGGCACCGGGCCTTGTGACGCTGTGACGGAGGGTACCGTGTCTGCGGAGTACAGCTGGCGCTTCGTCACCGAAGCTGCTGCGAATTGTGCGAGAAGGGTCCGGTGATTCCCTTGGAGAGACGCATCCTTCACTTCTTCTGTTTGGGAGGAGCTCAAAAGCTGGAAGGCATTGAGCGCCAATAGTATTGAATATATGGACGAAACCTAAGACTCAAAGAGGTTGTGGCCATGCGCATGGTTTGAGGGTGCTTCTCAAGGTTCGTTTTGAGCTTCAATGACCTTCAATCCCTCGCCGAGCCCTTCGTTCAACCCACCACGTATTCCATCCACCCAATATTTCACTGCTCCCCAGACGACTTCATTGGTCATAGCTGTACTGGCCAATGCCATGCTCCTCCTTCCAAATAAATCTGCAGCAGTGACGCTGAAGGCAAATACTCTCTCCCTGACATGGTGTGTGCGATCGTAGCTGGAGGCAGCTGCAATGAAGAGCTTGATATAAGGAAGTGCCAGACGAAGTAGTAGGCATATGGCTATGATTGTGGAAGCGAGGCTGCGATGGAGGAGTGAGGGATTTCGATGCCTAGATTGAGTTGTCTCGGGAGGAGTCGAGTCTTTCAGGGAGTCTGGTAGAGCGTTTTTCAGGTGAAGCGTTTCTTGGTCCGAGAGATCGGAAGGAAGGCCTTGGATTAGGTATGCCATGGCGTCAAGGTAAAGCTGGCGGGAGAAAGCCTGGCTTTGAGCGTCTGAGGTCTGAGATTCTGCAAGTGAAGTCTGAAGTGTATTCGAGCCTGACTCTTGTCAGACAATTTTGTGGTGATTGCCTTTTGTGTGCAGCGTCTTACCATGGCGGGCAAACTTCCAGCTTATGCCTGGGACCTCTGCGCTGTCTGCCGTGCATTCGCCTGCTACGGCCATCTTATCTGGGACCACCTGTGTATGTTCACTTTCGCTGCGGTACGTGTCTAGGCTGGTGACTCTTCTCCGTGATCGAAGGCCGTAGTCTGTGAGGCTTCTTCGGACCAAAACCAGCGGTTGCAGGCTACTTTGCAAGACGCTCGGAAGCATAGAGTATACTGGCAAAGGAGTCCGAGCAGGCTGGTTCCTTTCTGGCTGGACTTTCTTCTCGTGGACCGTCATTTCCTAGGCGGGGTTCGTCATATGTCAGACGGCTAAGTTGTAAGAGGCGATGGGAGTGTTCACTGTGGATACAGTAAATCTCTGGAGCTCCTTGTACTGGCAATGGGTGGGTTTGATCCTGACGTACAAGTACAGGGAGGTGAGTAGATATAATAAGTTTAGGATAAGTATATAGCGATGAATGTGAGAATCTGCGAATAGAAAGAGTATTGCTAGATGCCTCGTCCTTATCGATAAGACTCGCGTGCCTCGGCACAGAAAAGCTTGCCAGGAACGAACATCGCTCGCGGTAAATCTTCGGTAACATCATGTTCGAGCTCCACAATGGGTGCCAGATCCTTCGAACACAGAGCACGGAGTATGCAAATTCCATTAATATGGGCAAAAATATAAGTTATGTTTTTTCCGATGCGGGGACTAGCTTGATGTTAACATCAGGCGCATCTCAGAAAATTTATAACCACGTACATCGAACCCCGGCCATCCGCGCACTGGAGTCTCTCAGTAATGAGAGGCGGATATCCTAACCACTAGACCACATCGGATGCGGTGCGTTGGACTCCTGTCACTATTGCAAAATATAATCTAAATGATTGTGGAAGCCAGTAAATCTCAGGTGGTTCCGTCAAACGCTACTCGTAGAGTGTCACGATGAGTGGAGTTCTTTGCAGTGGCCGACCTACGTGAATTACCAACCAAACACGGTAAGTTGGCTCTTAAAAAAAGCATCAAATGCTAATTCCACGTAGAAAGATTTTTTACAGAAGCCGTGGGAAAGATGTATATCTCGGCAGACGCGAAAGACGATAGATAGGATGGAACGATCAGCAGGCCCTGGATCTGAGTGAGCCAAGTCGTCATGCACGCCCTAAAACGTCGATGTCTTATGAATCAGTATGCGTCGATCAAAACACTATATCTCCCAGATTCGCCAGCTTGGGGCAGCAAATTGTCTTGCAAAACGCAAAAACGTGAGTAGGGTGCCGCTTTTCGGGAGTTGGATTGACGTCGGGGTCGTATTAAGTATAAACATTACTACATAATTCCCACCTCACTCCCGTACTCCCTCCCAACCTCACCCGCTACCGTCCTAACCCGCATCAACCCAATCAATAAGCATCCCCCTTCCAAACCGCCACCCTCACATCATCCAGATAAATCAAATGCAACCCCCCCTGACTGCACCCGAACACAAACTCCAACGCCGCACTCCCACTCCCGCCCACCGCCGGCGCCTGGAACTTCCACCCCGTCGTCGCCCACCCGCCCAGCTGCCCCTGCGCCACCGCCATCGGAACACTCACGCTCCTCCCCGAGGCCAACGTGTTCGGGTACGTGGCGTTGAGGCTGCACTGCCCGCCACCGAGGTTCGCGAACGCGTAGTCGATGTTGACGGTGTAGTTTGTGCCGGGGCAGAGGGTGAGGGGTTGGGATAGGGTGAGGGAGGCGGCTGAGCTGGAGCCGGAGGAGGGGAGGAGGGAGGCGTAGAAGGCGGAGGTGTCGGAGGCGGATGCGGTGCCGGATTTGAGGGTGCTGCCGGGGGATTGGAGGCCGTAGGTTGTGGCGCCGAGGATGTTGGTGATGGACCAGGAGGGGAGGCTGGGTTTGAAGGTAGGGCAGGCGAGGGCGGAGGCGGAGCAGGTTGAGGATGTGGTTGTGGTTGAGGAGGCTGGTCTGGTCGAGGCTGTTGTGGTTGAAGTTGTTTTGGATGATGCGGATGGTGTGGTGGAAGATTTGGTAGTGGAAGATGGGGATGGGGATGAAGTTGCTGTTGATGGTTTTACTGCTGAAGAAGTCGTTATGGGAGATGCCGCTCTCGATGAAACCGCTGTCGATGAGACTATGGTCGACAATGCTGCTGTTGATATTGTTGTTGTGGAAGACGTGGTTGCAGACGATACTACTGTGGATGATGCTGCTGTGGACGATGCTGTTGTGGACGATGCTGTTGCAGCATATGCAGCTGTAGATGATACAGCAGTGGATGATGCTACCGCCGACGATATTACCGACGGGGATGCTACCGACGAGGATGCTACCGCCGATGATACTGCTGCTGCTGATGTTACTGCGGAAGGCGCTGCGGAAGGCGCTGCGGAGGAAGATACGTTCCATGGTGCCGATGAGTCGGGTTGATCACTATGAAGAGGGGGTGTATCAACGAACCGTTCAAAGGGTAACCTTCCAAAATCTAAGAATCCCACGCAACTTGCAGGACTGTTTCAGGCGCGAAGTTTCAAGAAGAAACGAGGAAGTCCGACCGTACCAATGATGGAGTTCCCCACTCTTTTCGAGGAATCGTGGTGGGTCTACTTAAAGGGCAGGGTGTGCTTCGAAAGAAAACCGTACGCATTCTTGTGCGCGAAGGCAAATTGAGAAAGCCCATCAACTTACATAAGCGCGTAGCTATAAGATCTTGAAACAGTATACCGATCATCTCCCTGGTACTGTCCGTAGTTCGTCCCATACGACGCATCCCACGTCTCATTGTACATCGAGCAATACAGCCCTTGGGGAATGCCATCCTCAGATAGGACATAGGCATTGAAAAAAATCTATCGCCATTAGCCCTACAATAATTCAAATCAGAGGGAGCACGTACGCATGCCATGTAACTACCATCCGCGGCTAGGTTCTCGCTATCGTACGTCGTCTGCGCATTACACGCATCGGCACACGTTTGCGGATCATAGCCTTGGCTCTGGCTGAAGGGAAAATATTGGTAGCCCATATAGCTACCGGAAGAGGGTGGGGCGTTGATTGCACCGCCGAGTTCAGTGGGGCCGTTGTAGCCATCGCAAGCTGGGGGAGGGGCGTCTTTGTTGTAGGCTTGGGGGGCAAAGTCAGCCGGTGCAAGTCGTGGATGGGAACACTGACTGGTGTGGGTAGATTGAAATTCACATACCGTTAGAGCCAGCGATGACGACTTGGAACGAATCCTGATACTGTCCAGAGTTCGTTGCTTCCTCTACCGATACAGGCGCGCCCCAGAGCGTGCATTTGTAGTTAGTCGTGCTCGGTGGATTTGGGCAATTGTCGGCGCTAGCGTTCAAGCTCGGGTCTCGTTCAATGTACATGTTGAATGCTTGGCAGCCAGATGCTTGGTCGCATTGCGAAGCGCATCCGAGGGTGTCGTAGGTGGTAAGGGTGTAGAGTCCCATGTAATCTGAAGCAGTCAAGGAGGCGTTCGAGTTAATGAAAACAACCTCGTAACCGTCGGGGGTTGGTGCAGCGGTTGCCATTGCCTGGAAGAAAAAGTCAATCTTACTCTTTACGAGGAGATGAGACTGGACGTACTGCGAACGTTGGGAAAGATTCGAACGCGTCCACGGTATCAGGGGAGGGTACAGGCCCGGACCCTGTAGGGTAGGGTGAACAATCGCCATCTCGCTTCTCCACCGTCAAGTCCCGCTTTGAAGACGAGATGATGCTGGTGAGTGGTCTTATGGGCGCTGCAGGGACCGATGGTACAACGTCTTTGACAATATCGATGGGCGCGGTCACGCGGACTGCGTCAGGATATTCTTCGATGGCAACCAGATCAATCAATTGCGGCGAGGGAAGCGCAGATGTAAGAGCCGCAAGAGCGGCGAGAATGAAAGGAATGTACATAACGACAGTGTTTTAGACGGGAAAAGACGAAACTTAACGAGTGAGATGATAAGACCTAGCAAAAGAGGCCACTGAGTTTACCTGGACGAGACTCCGGAGCAATGTCGAGGGAGATGTGCTTTTATATCATCATCATCCTCCTCCTCCTCCTCCTCCTCTGGTAGCATTTCGTACCCACTGATCTACCCAGTCTATTGGCCAGCCACAAATCCAAACGTGAGCAACGCGATCGAAAATTGTATTTGAAGAAAAGTCCAACTTTCTTAGCGAGGAGTCGTCTCTATCCCCCGGATTACCGGACAGGTTAAAGCTGTTTGCCATCCACAAAGTCCGGCAAATTTTGGTGCCAAGAAGGGAAACCACGTGCTGGCCAGCTAGCTACATCCTGCAAGGCACCTGAAAAGTAGATGGGCCTAGAATCAATCTGGACGGATGAGACGGCAAAACCTTCCTTGCGATCTGATCATCTGATATATATATTACATAGTGAGCCCGAATCCTTGTCAATGCGGTGACTGGAGGCGTTTTCTTTGGCCAAACCTGGATAGACGTTGACTAATAGTACTGGATCTCAAAGCGACCCCTTTCGACGTGCATGACTAGCGCCGTTCGCTTACGTTAGCCGAGACCGTTTCAGGAAGTCGATCGTGGATGCGGGAAGCTAGTGCGTCCGTAAGGGGAAATAAACTTTCAGATAGATCAGAAAGAAAATGAGTGAAAACGCTAATTCTTCTAGGCTGTAAAGTAACCGGGTCATACCTTAAGGAATGGATGATGCCGACATGATGAGCACGGCTCTTCGGACTCGATGAAATTGGAACTCCGTCTGGTAACTATGGATTTGGAACGATGCTGCCGAGCTTCCAAGACACTCGTGTTTACCTTCGCCGTCCGTCGTGTAGTTGAAAATTCTTCGATGGCGTCATAAAAGACTTCGGGGAGCGATATATCGTCTTCTCGTGGTCCCCTACTTGCTATGATTAGTAGCAAGCAGCACTGTGAAAGCGTGCCTCACAGCATCTGGTGCGCTCTCTTCAGATTGCTCCTCGAAATATCCTCGAGCAGTCTTGCCCAGAGAGTCCCTCGCCTCCGGATCAATGCACATCAGCCTAGCTTGACTGAGGATATCTATTTTGTGCGATCTCCATGAATTGCTGCCAGATGGATGATGTTCCGCTCTTTTTCTGCATTTTGATCTGCATGAGCTTTCACCATCGGTTCTATCATGTCGTGACGGCCATATCTAGAGACAAAGTGGAGGGGTGTAGCGCCCACTGCTGTTTTCGACATGATGTCCAAGTTGTGATCAAGCAACAATTTGAGACTGGGAAGACTTTTGGCAGAATGAATTGGACCGAACCCTCGGTTGTCCGATTTGATGACGTCGGCGCCGTGTCCAAGCAGGAGCCTCGATGATTCGATGTCGTCCCTTGTGATTGCCCATGATAGACCAGTACGACCTTCTCGGTCCTGGACGTTGATGTCTGCAGTAGAGCAGTCAAGGAGAGGTCCCAAAGGGAGAGGAACGAGGCCGAGCACAGCCTTGTGCAGGGGCTTGAATTGCAGCGTGTTGGTGCAGTTGATGCGACCAAATGAGACGGCAATATCGGCGGCTTTATCAGGCTTCTTCTCTTGTGAAAGAATACGTTCTCATGCAAGAGACACCGGAGACCTAGAAATACTACATCAGTCGACACGCACAACTAGCGCATCAAATACTGCGTACGTGTGGTATTGATTCTCGAACAGAGGGTCGGCGCCTTGCTCTATCAGAAATCTACAGAGACCAACATCACCCGATACGGCAGCGAACTGTTCGTCATTGAGTAAGTTGCTAGATCTGAAGTATACGAGGAGAGACCATGAAAGAAAAACAAAGTAGGCAAGGGTGAAAGCCGTATGACTTACGTAAAGCGCCGATGACCCATGATCGTTCACGTCCCAAGGCGATGCAGCGCCTTCCGTAAAGAGACTTTTTACTCCTTTTGTATCTCCATGTATGGCAAAAAGGTACAGTTTTTATGGCATGACCCCTCGTGGGAATCGGATGTTGATTTCAGGGCCATGGAGGGGGCAAAATTTCATCGTTATTTCAAATGGACGGCCCCAAAACCAGCTAGGAAATCGATAGACAATACTGCCAGAGGGACCAGTCGGGCTTTTGCAAGCATGCTCAGCACAACGACGTGTCAGCAGAGGTAGGCCCGAAAGGGAACCCGAGACAGTACCAAACGGCGACGGCACAAAAAAGGTCTTCCGAGAATGGCAGGCACAGCTGCACCATAGTGAGCACTGCTTCCCTGTGTGAGCCACCTGGCCGTCTTTTGCGCAGCGGGAACCCCAAGGGAACCCGGTTGTCATTGGGGGTAAGGTCTCAGGCTGTCCGACCTCAACGCCGCTTGCTTTCGATCGGATGTTGGCAGGCTGTATGCCGGCTTGAGAGGCCGAACATCCACTCTCCGACCGGTTTCCCCCATGATCCTCTGTTACATCTTGAATGTCTGATAGTGCTTTTTGAATCAGTGAACCTTGTACTGTCATTTGGCCCATCAAAGTGGACAATGTTTGTCTAGCCTGTTGTTGATTGAACACAACTTCGCTGGTGGAGCTCTCTAGGCGGATAGTGGAGGACCTCGAACGTGAAGACGTTAGCTATGGTCTCTGATATCATCAATGCCAAACGATGTTTTCCCTACGAACGGAGAACGAGGACGCAATAAAATGTACCCACAAATTGATAATGGCCAAGCTGCTCAGCAGCTTTCCCCGTATCGATTGTACATCTGATAGTAGGGTCGTTGCTTTTGTCCGATTTTGCAGCCACCTGCGCCTCGACCACTTGATTTGACCCGAGTTCGACACTTTGGAGCATTTTTGACCAAGTCTGTCGAGCTCTATCATAGTCTCATCTGCTTTTTTCACCTGCTCCTGTATCCACTCTGTCGTCCGGCATCGATAGATTTCCCCCTCATCTGCAGGCGCAAGTCTAAGACCATCAAGTACCGAAGAGATCTGTAGAAGAACATCGTGCAACTCATTTGTCTCGCGTAATGACGCAATACCTTTTCCAGTAGTCCAGATTGCACCTGTGATGGCTATTGTACTAACAGTGACCGATAGAATATCCATACCGGAGGAAATGGTTCCCTTGAGGTGGATTGAGCCAGCTCATGGTGTAACATGTGAGCTAGGAAGACTTCGGTTAGAAAGAGACGACTTCCACGTGTTCGAAGCCTCCTGTGAGGCGTTTCCAGTTCAATATTGCAAACGGTTCGCGCGGATGTCTCCGATGGCTTGGCAACCTTTTAGCCGCAAGTGTACATGTACCCAAGGTAAAGTAAGGTACCTTATCTGCGTTTCTTAACCCAGAGCACTTTTTAAATGTCCTCTCTCGGTGCGAGGATCTTCACGAGGCTGACCCTGAGACTCTTGCAGTGATTTCTAACCAATTAAACCATGGCCTTATCAAAGCCTTTATCTCAATCTTGCGTTCCAATGGCGGCAGCTCGAGTCGGATCTGGTTGTGGGGCGAGATAACGCAGGGCAGCTTTGAAAACAAACTACTTCAAAAAAATGATGTTATCCGATCCCCGCATGGCGTGCGCAATGGGAATCGCTTTCGCCATGTGATTTGATGTTGTAAGATGATATGTGAATGAAACTGGTGCCCAGAGATTGATGTTTAAGAAGTCGCATTGCTACTTTTCATCTACTTCGATTGACTGACCTAATCTACCTTTCAATTCACCAGCTCTGCGATCTGATACCCCTTACGTTGCCTCGAGATGGTGCTCTGGCGCAAAGGACTAACGCTGGGTTTGAGCTCCGATGAGAAATCTCCCGTCGTGGGGAGCTCCAGCGACGATGCGACTTCCGCGGATGTTCAGAGGTTGGAGTTCGATGCGCGTCGCACTCCACAGCCGGGTGATCTGACGCTGGAGCAAGATACCGCGGGTGGATTGGGGCGGCATTTGGGGCTGTTCAGCACGACTTTTCTCATGTATGTCGTCCGCCCCTCAAGTGGTTCATAGGTGGGGGAGAACTGATGCGCCTATCTAGCATCGGCCGAATCATTGGGACGGGCATCTTCTCCACGCCTGCGACTATTACCAGCAGTGTTGGTAGTGTCGGAGCCGCGTTGATGCTATGGGTCCTTGGGTTGTTACTCTCCTTTGCTGGTCTTTGCGTGTGGCTGGAACTCGGGTGCATGTTCCCTAGAAGTGGTGGAGAGAAGGTTTACTTGGAGGCTGCGTATAGGCAGCCACGCTTCTTGGCTACTGTGGTTTTCTCGACCCAAGCCATCTTCCTTGGCTTTACGGGTGAGTTGGGACCAGAAACACTTCTGTTTTTGTTTTGCTACATCGTGCATTCTTGAATACCTTTCCGAAAACGCCGTATACTGAAATTAAGGCTTAGAATGTTGACACAGGGAATGAAACTGACAGAATCTTACAGCGTCCGGTTGTATCATCTTCGCAGAGAATATATTAATTGCAGCAAATCACAACGTGACCGAATGGGGAGAACGAGGGATCGCACTTGCGGTAATCATTGCCGTTACGTGCATCCATACCTTTACCCCGAATCTCGGTGTCAAACTCATGAACATCCTTGGAGTGATCAAGATTGTTGTCCTTGTCTTCATCGTGATCACCGGATGGGTTGTTCTCGGCGGAAAGGTGCACAAAATACCAGATCCAGGGGCTAGCTTCAGGAATTCCTTCGCCGGATCGTCTTCGTCTGGTTATGAATACGCAACCGCTTTGTTCAAGGTCTTGAATTCTTATGCCGGGTAAGGAACTAGTTGCTTGTCTCCCGGGGCCCAAGCTGAACAGTGCAGATGGTCCAACGCCGCCTATGTCCTGAATGAAGTTCGACGCCCCGTCCGAACCCTCAAGGTTGCCGGCCCCCTTGGCCTAGGCATATGCGGTGTCTTATACCTACTCGCAAACGTCGCCTTCTTCGCCGCGGCGACCCCTGGGGAGATCTCCAGCAGCGGAAACACCGTAGCCACCTACTTCTTTGGCCGAGTCTTCGGGGCGGCCGCTGAACGAGCATTGAGGTACGATCTGCTGACAGTGAAGTACTAGCTGCCAGCACGGTTACTGACATCAGGGCCTTCATAGTGTACTTGTCGCCCTTTCCGCATTCGGAAACGTCTTGACCGTCACGTTCGCCCAGGCCCGAGTAAACCAAGAGCTAGCGAAAGAAGGTGTCATTCCCTTATCTCGATTCTGGGCTTCGGGATGGCCGTTTGGTGCGCCTTCTGCGGGCTTGCTTTTGCATTTCATCCCAAGTTTCATCGTCATTGTGGCGATACCGTTTGGTGAGTCTTTATTGTTACAACTAAGTTCACTCCGCCAGAATGGTGACTGATAAGACTCTCAGGCGACGCCTACGACTTCATCCTCGACCTCGAAGGCTACCCATCCTCCGTCATCTATGTCTTCGTCGGCATCGGTCTCTTCATCCTGCGCTGGCGCTCGCCTCAAGTGCCGAGACCATTCAAAGCCTGGTGGCCTGTCCCCGTCTTCTTCCTCCTCGGCCAAGGTTTCTTGCTCGTCGCGCCCTTCTTGAGGCCGCCGGGCGGGAAAGGGGATACGAGCTTGCCGTACTGGCTCTATCCTGTCGTGGGCATCGCGGTCCTGGCATGCGGTGTGCTCTATTGGTTTGGATGGCGGGTACTACTTCCGAGGGCAGGGCGATTCGATTATGCGGAGCGGCAGATGACGCTGAAGGATGGGACGGTGTTGACGGTGTTTGATAGAAAAAAGTTGAAGGTGTAGGCAGTGTGGGTTTCATGATCATGCAGCTGTCCTTTCCCTGGCTCGAGAGCACAGTCTGCGCCATGCGAAAGTAGTTGTCGGACGATATCGTACTGATTGTCCGTCACTGCGAGATGCAGCGCAATCAAAACTGATATGTTGGCCGTGAGGTTCGGGTTTGCGCCAAGCCTGATCGAATAAGCCTCTACGCGGAGACTGCCTGTCTTCCCTGATCTTTCTTAAATTATCCACTATGCTTCCTCGAACCAATACTTGATTTATCTGGTTTTCCATGTATCACTATGCTCCCCTTTATACCGATCACACTGCAGCTACACCATCCTCCTCGTTCTAGGTACACTACGGATAAGCCCGTTGACTATCGTAGACCGAAGTGCAAGCTTCACATCGAACCCGGTTCCCCCCGGCTCGCGAACCGCCGAAGTTTTCATTCAGTCTGATAGAGTAGGAAACCACCTTCGATCCGCCCTCTTAGCTCCTCAATTTCTGATAAGCAACAATTCAAAAGCAGCCTGCTTCCCCTAGCAAAAATCATGCAGTGGATAAATCTTTTTCTGCACACACTGCATGCAGCAGTGATACTGCCTACAACCCGCGCACTCGAACCCCTGAAACAAGTTAGATATTCGATCAGTCATTGATGACAAAAGAGCGGGATGATGGACCACGGCTTTCAGCACAGAGAACTAGAGAGTGCCTAGTACAACGAGACGTAGTACTGGATGATGATGCCATTGTCTTGAGATGATGGGAAAAAAACACTACAGGAATGAAGCGATTGTGGTCCTAGCTTTGCCAAACCTCACTTCTGTTGGGGGAAATTTACCCACCTTGAAGGCAATTCGCGCATACCGTCACCAAGACTTGACTTAATTGCATGGATCTCATCAAATTCTCAAGCTCTAGCGTGGAAGAATAACCATTAGCCTGCAGCTACATTGAGCCTTCCGCAGCATCTATTTCCCTGAGTTGTCAGACCTTCTGCGGATGCATACCCCATACGCTGACCTCCGCGACAGAGGTTATCAACGCAGCTTTGAACCAAAAGACGTCAGGATCGTCGGGATAATTGTCCGTCTAAGTAGCGATACTATTTATTGCTTCATGTTCTTCCAGGACAAGATTTGCCAAGCCAAGCATGACATTGAATCTGCCGTTTCTCGCCATCTCGTTTTTCTCCATTTTGAAAGTCCGATTTGTTTTCTCCGAGTCAGTCACCATGTTTTTCAGTCGATTTGCAAGCTCGAGCAAGTTACCTATGACGGCTTGGCCAGACCAGCTCCTGTGCCAACACTCAGGATGAGTCTATCTGCAGTTGGCCAGACGTCCCGTGATTCAACATTAGCTGTTCGGACAGGATCATTGCTGCCGTCAATGCTCCATCCACAAATAGTTGACGGTTCTGTCCTATTTGAATGGGCTCGAAGAAAGTGGAAGCTGCTGAGGCGGCTCTAGCGGCCTCCCAAATCTTGCAGATCTCGTACAGTGGGTCATGACGTCTGGATTCATAAGATCGCAAGACCGCTAGACTGCCATCTTCGCCGCGAGGCGCACAAACACAATTTTTGCAAGCGTCAGGGTCTTTGTACTTGAGCAAGGTGTCTTCATGCAGCTGCTTGGACCAAATCGTAGACTTGATGGAGTTTTCCAATGGGGCATTTTCAAACTTGCCGGATGCCTTTAGGTATTTATATAGACGCCTGGGGATCCACAAGGTTATGAACTGTGGTGAAAATAGCTGCACCGAAATTCATGGACGCAAAGACTCCCGCGCCAAGATCTCGGATAACCGCCCAGCCTGAATAGCTGCCTGGAACACTGCGCTTAGATGTGCTTCGAAATGCGCCCGGTTTAGCGCCCATTGCATCTAGCATGCCCGATAGAAGTCCCTAAAGCTCAATTCATGCACCTAGAAAATAGTTCTAGGAGTCCCCGCTACAGGGCTGCCTTCCGAATGTAGGGTTAGAACTAGGGCTTCAATACCGCTGTCAGGACTTTCCGATCGCCTCGGATCATCGACTGCCAACACAAGATCCGAAGTGCATGTGAAGAACCCATCTCTGCAGTTGAGTATCTCTACCAGCAA